GTTATAGGAAAAATAGTAATAATTCAAGGTAGCCTCAGTAAGCATGTTATCTCAAAACGTTTCATAAAACGTAATCATTAAATCATGCATTTCATGTATGCATTTCTACTATTAAAACATGCTTTTGAAGGGGTCCACTCACAGTACTTAGCCGCCGAAGAGCCACGCAAACTAACGTCACCAATAATTGCCCCTAAGCACATAAAGGGTCCAATTAATAAAACTATATAATAGCAATTGGATTTGGGAAAACGGACGTTGGAAACGGATTCAGAACGTCGAATTACCCTAAGAAGGGTCTCGGACGAAAACCCGAAAAGTCAACTCTAAAGTCAATGTTAACCAGAGGTCAACGGTCAAATTAGGTCTAACGGGTTTTAGGCTTGAAATCCGGATTAGGGTTTAGGTTAAATAGGATTAGGATTTATTGGGTTTTGAATTTAGGGTTCTAAGGTTAAAAGGGTTTAGGGTTAAAATGGGTGGTTTGGATTTCTAAGGTTTTGGGTTAAAATGGTTTAGGGTTAGGAAAGGGGTTTGGGTTTAAGCCCAAACACATACATATACTATAAACATACACACACACTACACAAGGCCCTAAAGCCTCCTAACAGAAATCAGGGCTTTAAGCCCTTGGTTGAAAACCGGCCCAAGGCCAACCAAAACTAGGGCCCAAGCCCTTTGGGTTTTAAAAACATATAACTAAAAATAAAAACTGAATGGGTTAGGGTACTGGGCTAAGGCAACACGGGCCTAAGGCCCGAGGGAGAGGGAAAGGCCGGATGGCCTGGGTTTGTCGAAGGAGAAGGTCGGAATTTCGGCCGGGAAACCACCCAACTTTAAATGGCCATAACTTTGTCAATACTCAACGAAATCAAGCAAGACAAAAATGAAAGTTGTAGCCCTTGAAGAGACGAAGAGAATGGTACCTCACACGACGTCTAACTCGCCGTGGTTTGGCCGGAAAATGCCTCGAAAGCCGTCGAACTCGCCGGAAACTGGGTAAGATTCAAATGAGTATAACTTCTTCAATACTCAACGAAATTAAGTGAAACAAAAAGGAAAGTTGTAGTACTCGACGAGACAAAGAGATTGATACCTTGCACGCCGGCCAACTCGTCGTGGTTTGGCCGGAAATGGCCTCGAAAGGGGCGGTGCTCGCCGGAGCTTACTCCGTGTCGTCGAACTCGCAGGGCAGGGTCCGGGGTTCGTTGCGAGCCCTCTTCGATGGTGACTCGATCCTAGTGAGTCCGGGGGAAGAGAGAGATGCGAGAGGTTGAGGGAGAGAGGTACGGGATAGCTGAGAGGGAGAGAGCTAAGGGAGAGTTACGGGGGAGAGAGACGAAGAAGAAGGAAGAGAGAGATGGGAGGCTGGGGACAGAAATCAGGGGTGGGTCCCCCTTGGCTCACCAATTAAGACTAACAATATTTAAAAAAAATGGGGTGGGGTGTTTCAAGATGCACCTGGCTTGGTATCTCTGCTGAATACAGAGATGTAAGTTGCTCAGTTATTTCAGCTTCGATCATTTGGGGAAATAATCATTACTTTCATCTTTTCTTTTCTCTATTTTTTTCGATACCAAATTCATGAAATAATTAAATTAAAAACCACAAAAGAAATTGGGAAATTAATTTGAAAAAAAAAAAAAAAAGGGTGGCTTTTGGGGAATTGGGAGAGATCAGAGTTCTGGCTTGGAAATTAAAATATAGCGCAAGTTTGAATCAGCTTTGATCATATGGGGAAAGTAGCATCACTTCAACTCCCAAAATAAACCCTAATTTGAACACTGAAAAACTCGAAGACAATGGAAGAGTTTTGGAGTTCACTCAAAAACTCGAAGAAGCTTGTATTGGAACTGTGGAATCGGGGAAAATGACCAAGGATCTTGCACTAATTCTTCACGGATCCAAGTAAGTATTTGATAGTTTATTTTATCTTCAGAATTTGTCTCTCTGCGCATGTGAGTTGTGTTTTCCTGTGCCTCTGTATGAGCAGTGATTTTATTTAAAACATGCTTTCGTGTGCTGCAGGCTGGCTAGGAACCACTACTTGAACACTGAAGAATTCATTGATGCTGTGGCCGAGGAACTGAAAGCTAAGCTTGCTTGCTAGGAACCACTGCAGTTTTCGGACTTGCATTGGAGGTGAGTGTTCCTTCCTGTTTTCCGCCTGTTTGTAGGGAAATTTTTATTACACAATTTAAATTTCTTGCTTCATTTCCTTGTGATTCCCATGTTTTTTTGAGAAATTACTCTACCCTCTCCTTCGATTTTTTAGTTTTATAATTTTCTCATTTAGCGCAAACATTTTCTTTCATTTTTTGAAGTTAATGAATTCTAGGTTGTGTTTCAAGGATAGGCAACTGTGGACTTGTGTATTTTGAAATAAGGCAGAAGGGCGGAAAAAAGGGATATGTGTTTTTTGTAAGAAGTACTTAAAGTGATTTTCTAAGGTCTACTTGGATTTTTAATAAGAATTGGTTTTAAAAGCATTTTCACAAAAGAATTGTTTTAATCTTTGTATGGTTCATCTTAGGATACACTGTCTGAAGTCTGTTAACTGATACTACCAAGTCCGGGTAACGTTCTTCATTGGCAAATGCATTTAAAAAAATAATGGCAGATGGTTCGTACCTATTGATATGGAAAGAGATCCTCTTCGGATCTCTTCTACCAATGTCATCGGATCAAGTGATCCAGACCTTCCAAATTTCATCTAACGGCTAAAAATTATCACAGCTTTTAAAGGGTCAAAACAGGTGGGCTATTGGATCAAATTTAGAAGACCCGGATCACTTGATCCGGTGACCTTGGTGGAGAGGATCTCTTTCCTAGTGATATCTATCCACCAAATATATGTCGATATCTTGACTCGATAGACTTTTAAGTGATTTTTCTCAGAACTTTGAAGGATAGAATTTGGTTTATTGTAGTTGGAGTTTCTCTTTTAAAATCCTGATTAAATCACGTTTGGTTGAATACTCTTAAATTTAAAACTTGTAATCCTTCAAATTTTCAATTGGGTACTATGATAATTTTCAATTTCTTTTTTTGAAAAAATAAATTTGCTATTAGGGTCTAGTCTTTTTCAACAATGTTAAGGGAACATGGACTTATGCCATTTCATGTTTTTGCATAATATTTTATAATATTGTCATAAAAATTGAACTTAAATTGTAAAATGACAGAGTCTCCTATTTTTGATAAAGTCTTTTTACCTGTCTCGCCTACCTTTGATAAAAGGTTAGGGAAAGGGATCCTCTTCGAATCTATTTTGTAGGGATTCTAGGAATCCCCACATTCTATCTGTTCATCGTATATCATCCGATCAATTTTCGTCAGATACTGTTTATGTTTAATTTTAAATAAAAAAATCAAATAATTTCTGACCGCACGATACACGATGAATGACTAAAATGTGAAGATTCCTATAATTTCCATCCGGATGAAATCCAATTCCAAAGGTTAGGACATTTTGAGAAGGTCCTTTTACATGTCTCACCCACTTTTTATCCCAGTAACCTAAAAAAAAAATTAATAATAATGTCACATACTAATAATACAATGATATGTTAATTTTATTTTCTACGTACATACTAATAATACAATGATACCGCACCGTAGTGATGATATTTGTGTCATACAAGTTGTCCTATTTTACAAGGGGCTGGATTACTGATTACGTTTGCATGTCCACATGCACCTAAATATCCCTTCACACTGTTCAATTGTGAACTCCGTCTAAATGCCGCGTGTATAAACTCCCGCGAGAATAAACCCATAAAAAATAGAAAAAGAGTATAAATCGAACCAATAAAACAGAAAAACATAATAAAATCATACACAAAATGCATTGTATTTTATTGTACCAACGAAATTATCATAACATAAAATATAAAAAATTTATAAAAAATAAAAAAATTAAAAGAAAAAAAAGATGTATAATATGTATATGGTGGAGAAAGATGGATCAGATGCACCTGGCTTGGTGTCTCCACGGTATACAGAGATGTAAGTCGCTCAGTTATTTCAGCTTCGATCATTTGGGGAAATAATCATTACTTCGATCTTTTCTTTTCTCTATTTTTTTGGATACCAAATTCATAAAATAACTAAATTAAAAACCACAAAAGAAATTGAGAAAAATTAATTTGAAAAAAAAAAAAAAAGAGGGTGGATTTTGGGGAATTGGGAGAGATCAGAGTTCTGGCTTGGAAATTAAAATATAGCGCAAGTTTGAATCAGCTTCGATCATATGGGGAAAGTAGCATCACTTCAACTCCCAAATCCCCCTTCTACCAACATAAACCCTAATTTCAAAACAAATTAAATAACACGCAGGCAAAATCAAATAACATAAAGGCAAACAAAATGTGGGTTTAGCAGAAATAGAACAGATGCGAGGAAGGTGAAGAGTCAGGGGCGGAGGTAGAGTGAGAGGGTTGGAGGAGGCGATTCGATTATATAGGCTCTCGTCTTGCACTTTCAAACCCTAATTTCATTGAGAATTTTAGGCCCGGTCCAAGTATAGACAATGCGGTGGAGTTGCTTGATAGTTACCCGAAGGCCCAATTAGATGTAAGCCCATTAAATCCACTTTCGAACAAAGCCCATTGTGGTGGCTGCTTTCATTTCCAGTCAATTCACTTACAATTTTACTAAAAATTGATTCTAAAAATGTTGTAACAAAAAAAGTTTTTAGATATTTTTTTAAAAGTAATTTCAAACGAGCACTTAATATTCTTACCCAACTAGGCCAAGGAGAAGAGGCTGCACTGCAAGATTTGGGGATTGTTACTGGGGGAAATGGCTTATGGTCAAGAAAATAAATTGAAAGGGGGAGAAAAAGACGCATAGGGCTTTTGTCTTTTTATTTTTTAATAATATGTTTAATGCAATTGATTTTTTTTTTCTATTTTTAGTTATACACAGGTTTTTTTTTTCTTTTTTTAGGAATTATTTTCCACACTTCATAAATGTAATTGTGTCCTTTGTAAGGGTAATTATTTTTTCAGAAAGTTGTTTCGAACGGCCGATACAGAAAATCCAATATTAATATGCTTTCGTTCTGGTTTTGTTATTTCTTTCGCAATTTGATGTAGAGAGATGGGGAAAGAAAATTTTGAAATAGTTCCATTTGCCTCTTTTATAGGGAACTTTAACGAAAAGCACCCGATACTGTTCACTTTAACGAAAAACCACATTTTTACACTAAAAAGTCAATTCTGGTACTATTCACTTTACCCTTTATTTTGTCCTTATCATTAAAACTCATAGTTTTCAAGTCCTTTTCATTAGTTTTCCTTCTTTTATAAGCTGCGAAAACAAGAGGAATTAGCTCAAGGAGTACTAAAAAGGGTGCCAACTGCAGTGGGACTTCTACGGGTAATGAGAAGCTTAAACAATGAAGCCCATTTCTTTGGAATCCCATTATGGTAACGCTAATAAAATAGAAAATGAGAGATTCAACATATTGAGAAAATGACTTGTAACTGTGAAGTTATAAGGTATCATACCTAAGGGATTACGAAATAACAAAAAAAGTAAAAGTGATCAAGATGCGAGAGAAAAACTTTTTTTTTACATTTCTGGAAAGACCACCTGTTTGTTCGTTTACTAGGTTCAAGATGAAATCATAAATAAGCTTTACCAAGGATTGCTAGGCATATGGTACTGAGTTTCCTTCTCTGTTTTTAGTAACAAAGGGTGTGTTTGGTACGCAGACGGGACGGGACGGGACGGGACAGGACGGAACGAAGGTGTAATTTTTGAAAAAGACATGGGGTATATTTGTCTTAAAATGGTAAAACATTGTGTTCCATAGACGTGGAACAAACCCGTTCCAGGGGGGGAGGTGGAACGCAAAAACACCCAAAATCTGTCCCGTGGAACAGCCCGTTCCATCCATTTTTGGCGCACCAAACGCGGGACGGAACGCCTCGTCTCGTTCCGTCCCGTCCCGTCCCACGTACCAAACGCACCCAAAATGAACCAGAAGTGGGACCAAATTGAGAATTAGCAACATAAACAAAGAAGGATTTGTCAATGAGAAATACAAGTTTCCTATATGCATAGAAATCAATGGTAGATTGGCAAATTGCTCAAGTGGGTTGGGGACCAGCCCCGTTAGCTCCAAAGCCTCCGCATGGGCTTTACCTTGTACTCTGCGGAAAGGCAAGAAAATAAAAAAATAAAAAACTCATGAGGAGAGAATGAGAGTGAACGATCAAGAGAGAGAGAGAGGTGGAGAGAGGAAGGGGGTATAGAGGAGAGAGACGGTAGACATAAGGTTTCACGCAAGAAACATTTTTAACTTAATCACTTTGCATAATTATTGTGTTTCAATGTAAAGTAGATTATTGAATTTAATGACTTAATTTCCTGTAAAATTAATATGAAAGCCCATACGAGAAAGGACCTCACATGTTTTCAAAATAAAGATCAGTCTGACAAACGTAATTTCTCAAATTTATGGAGTTTTGTGAAAGCATAACAAACCTAATTGTGAGTGAAAATTAAGCACTAAACATGATTGAAACTCAACAATGAGAATCCGCGCGCAAGAAGGCAACTTAATAATAAAAGAGCGAACAGCAGGGGCTGAAGAAGGAAACAAAAGAAAAAACAAACAGAGAAGCTGTAAAGGTGGGGGATGAATCAAACAGGATCATGTCACCAACTAAGCTACCAGAGCGAGCCTGTGCATTAAGTGCACAAATTGATTTTTAATTTGAATCTTGTCATTACACGTTTTTCTTCAATTTTGAGTTGATTTCCGGGTTTTGACTAGTTCAGTTTCGCAGTCAAATTGATTATTTCAAATTTTCCAAATCGAACTTTCCATTTTTTGGCACTACTACTCTTGCGGTACTCTGTGGGAGAGCTTTGAATAGCACTTCCTATTTATCTTTGAGAAATGTTGTACTCATTCTAAAAATTTTATTTTTCACTTCTTATAATTTTTTTTAAATATAGAAAATTCATAGTGCCAATAACAAATCGTTTTATATTTTAGATAAATAATCTAAACTCTATTAACAACATTCTTTTTGTCAACCAAAACAAAAGTGAAAAGACCAAATTTACTCAGTCCACAAAATTAAAGAAAAATAACCAAAATAAAAATAATGGGGCAATTTAGTTAATTAAACACAAAATATTTTACTTAATTTTCTTCTAATGTCTCACAACTAGATAACCATATCAGTTGATCACATTTTTGCTTCCACATTTTTCTCACAAATAAATAAAATTTTAGTGATGAAATAGTTACCCATAACCAATCATTAAAGATATGAATAGCTTCTTCAATGATGAAAAATTATTTGAAGGTCGTCACTAAAAAACTTTAATGATCATTTTATATTTTTTCTCTTTGTAAATTTTATTTTTAAAATTTTAATAAGCACATTCATAATGTGTGTACAATTGCTAGTTTTTAATATTAATAACAATAATTAAAAGAAAACAAAGAATAAGTTTTTTTTGTTGTTGGAAGAATAAATAAAAAAGAATTTAGGCCATGTTTACTTTATACTAATGTGAGAATGAAAGAATCGAGGAACTTAGAAATAAAGAAGCTAAGAATAGAAAATCAAATACGTGTCGCTAAACACATAAAAAAAATTAAAAAATGAAATGATTCATATACCCATATTTTAGTAAAAGTAAGAAATTCAAATCAAAATGATTTCAATTTCTAGTCCAGGTCAATTAACATGCTCTTAAAATTCTTCATATTTCATCTTCTCAGAAAGTCTATAACTACTCAGTTTTAGGAAACAAAGAATGGAAAAGGAAAAACTAGCCACTGATTTTGAATGGATCCTAAAGTAAAGTTCAAAACCAAGGGCGAGGGTCACAGAGAAAAGAATAATTAATACATTTCAACATGAACTTTATGAATGCCCTTCCTACTAGGCTATGTATTATTATACTAATTCAATAACCATATTGTAGGACGAACGCACCGACAAGTGTAGAAGCTTACCTGGCAGTTTCCAATACAAATCATTTTTAATGAAACACCAATTAACATATGGAATTTGTTAACCACAAGAAGTGCCCCAGTGGTAAGAGTGTGGATTTCGGCTCTTAAAGTATAAAAATATAGGGAGGTTACGGTTTGAGGCTTCAAGTTGGTGAGTTTACTTGACTATGGTTAGGGGAAGCTGAAATGCCTCGTTAGTCTTCCTGACCTCTGAAAATGGTGGATAATCGTGGCTTGCCATCAGTTGTCTCGCTTTAAAAAAAAAAAAAATATCGAATATGTTTTTCCTTATAAATATGTGTCTCTCTCTGTTACTACTATCCATCTTCTTCCTTCCCAAAACCCCAATCTTCCACACAATACCACATTTACATCTCTAGATCGATCATCACCGCCATGGCTCTCTCAAGGACTGCGTCGGAGTCGGACGTCTCCGTCCACTCAACCTTCGCTTCTCGATACGTCCGAACTTCTCTTCCTAGGTAATTATATCACTTGAATTTCTTCATTTTGTGGTTTTTCTTCATCGGTAGTACTGTGAATCTAGATCATATATTTGGCGAAAGAACTCTTACTACATAATTTAGGTTTACAGTCGGACTATATAGTACAATTTTGCATGAAAACGAATTTCCCTTTACGCACATATGCATGATTCGTACCGATTGATTTGATCGTGAGATGGATGAATTTTGATCATGAAGGTTCAAAATGGCGGAAAATTCGATCCCCAAGGAGGCAGCGTACCAGATTATAAACGATGAGCTGATGTTGGATGGGAACCCTAGGCTGAATCTGGCTTCGTTTGTGACGACATGGATGGAGCCTGAGTGTGATAAACTTATGATGGCCTCCATCAACAAGAACTACGTCGACATGGATGAGTACCCTGTCACCACTGAGCTCCAGGTAATAAATTAACTCATTTCTTTTTAAAAAGTCGCATCTTTTTTTCATCAATATCATTCATCGTCAATCTGAATCCACTCCCATTTAGCAATTTTTAATTATATTAAAGTAATAAGAATAGCATACTTTAGCGCGTCCTAGTAGTGGGAATGGGTAAGGATATGTTAATTGTAGGCGCGTTAATTAGGGTTATTATATATCATAACAACGACTTAATCTTTTCTTAGATGTTTTAGAAGTGGATGCCATGTCTGCGACGTTGTTAATTGCGTTCGATGTTTAATAATCCACACGCTGAGCATGATTGGTAGTAATAGCAATATTATTTTTTGACGGTTTCTGCACTTTAGCTTAATTGGATTTTTGGTCAATAATTGAGTATTGATCTCTAAATTTGTTATGATGTGGAGCAATGACCATTTTGGCCAACTCCGTCAGAACTTCTATTAAATAAAGAGTTTAAAGAGACGAAAAATGATGGAAGTTCTAATAGAATTAGCAAAAAAGAACAACTGCTACACATTATAATAAGTTTATAAACCAGTACTCACGAATTTTTAATTCAAAAACTAAACCTCAAATTAGACTAAAGTGTAGGAACTACTGCTCCGATTTTCTCAAATAAAATCAAATGAAAGTAAATTAAATTATAAAAAATATTTCTCCTCCAATCAAATGCCTTTTGTATGATAGCCGACTGATCTATCCTTCACCATGTTACCATGCCTTCTAGGCTTCTAGTCTTCAACTAGATCTATTCTCTTTCATGTGGATCAACAAATAAGGTAAGTTCACGTGGATTAACAAATTGATTTCGATGAAGAACTTTAAAATAAGGATATTTTAGTATGTTCTTACCTATTTTACTTCTATGTTCTGTGCTATTAGATGCTATTTTTTAATTAAAATTGCCGGTTTGGAGAAAGTGATAGGAGGTACTGGGTAAATATTAGGTCCCACAACCTCTCTACTTGTCAGAAAAAATAGGAAAAGGTCTTGGTCAGTTGAAAAGTCTATCTTCTTCTTCTTCGCTTTCGTTCTTCTCTTCTTTGCCCGATTATCCCACAGAAAAACTTCAAAGCCATAGCAGTATTGCATTAACGAAACGGTCACCAAATCGCTGCATTCAACACATGTCTTGTTTTTATTGGGCCACCTAACTTAACGAGTAAAATAGGTAATACTCAAATATTATCCTTCATTAATTTCAACCTTCATCAGTATTCACAACCATTGAATTAGTATAATTTTCATGATTTTTTCGAAATTATGTAGTGTGAAAGAATTTTTCTGTTTTTACATGTGTAATGCCTAAAGTGGTTTAATAAAAACACAAATAAGAAAAATGATAATAACATGGCAATCTGTAATTTGTGGGTAAGAAGGAAAAACTCGAGGCAGGCATTTTCGTGAAGTTTTTTTTTTTTTTTTTAACAAACAATATTAACTACATTAAAAAAGTAAAGGTATTTTCGTGAATTAAAATTTTTATTTTTTAATGTTAGAAGTATTTTAACATCATCTCTAGGTGAGGTTTCAATAAAAAAATGTAAAATTTAGAAGTATTTTAACATCATCTCTAGGTGAGGTTTTTGGTTTTTTTTTTTTTTTTTAATGTTAGAAGTATTTTAACATCATCTCTAGGTGAGGTTTCAATAAAAAAATGTAAAATTTAGAACTGTGAAATTACATTATTGTCCATCATTTTTTTTTTGTGTGATAGAAGACTAATCTATCTTTTTACACTCTTTTGGTTGACAAAGAGGGTTTTATTAACTAGTAAGATTATTATTATTAAAAGAAGGAAAAATGTTCAAAATTATTACAAGGATTTAGAAAATAAGGGAATTTAGAACTCGGAATGCATGAGTAGAAACCCAAAACCTTATTCACTACTTACGCGATAACAAGAGTTGATTGAGTTCTCAATAGTGGTGGTATTTAATGGATGAGGACCTCTCCGGATCTTTTTTGAGGAGATTCTAGGGATCTTCACATCCTAACCGTTTATCATATATTGTGTGGTCAGTTTTCTTTACGTACTATTTATGTTTAATTTTATATAAAAAATTCAAAATAATTTATAACCTCACGATGTACGATGAACGGTTAAGATGTGAGGGTCTCTAAGATCTCTACAATTTGAATTCGGATGGGATTCAAATCTGTATTTAATATCATAAAAATTCAGATAACAGTTTTTCATTATATTTTTCAGTAATTTTCTAGTTTTAAAATTAATATTTTGACTCTGATGTTTAGTTAGTTACTAGGAAACTCGGACCACTATTACAAATCCACAAAGGAAGTGGGTAAATATGATATTGAATTCTTTGGAATGAATTCTTAGCAGTGGGGTAGGGTTTCTCATGCTTGCCTCTTAGCTTTATTTTCATTCATTAGTCAACAAGTTTGGGAAGGGACGCCGTGCCGCCTATCACCAAAGGCCATCTGCGGCCTTGTTATGCTTTCAACTTCCACTGATTAGACTTTTGCCAAAAATTATATTCCTGGACAATACGGTTTAGGAGAAAGGGACTCATGTGTTTATAGTCAGACCTTATGACCATTTGGTTTTAATAATGCACCTATGAACTGCAAAATTTTCAATCAATTTGCCGACAATTTTAATTTGTTCACCTACATTATTGTCCCAATATTTTCAGAAGTCTTGTTCAAAGAGAATATTAAAAATACTTTTGGAATGACTGAATGCGAATTTTGACGACTAAATATATATTTTTTCATGTTTGTTTTATTTTGATTTTGATTTATTTAGTATAAACTTGATTCCAAAATAAAGTTCTCTTTCGATTCACTTCAATGCACAAGGAGAGACACAAAGGATGAGTCGAAATGTCAAACTCTTTTTTTTTTTTTTTTGAGCAAACTACATTGTAAGGGAGGGGATAAATTTAGCATCACAATGCGTTAGTAATAATGTAGTTCAAATTCATCTTTGAAGAGAATTGAATCTAAGACATTTCACTTACAAGTGAAGAGGAATACCATAGTAATAAGTGGCAATATCAAACTCTTAGATGAGGCCAATTTGATTATAGTAGATAGATCTATAAATTATTGTTTTGTCTTTACTACCTTTTTTTTTTTGTCAAAATTAGAGTAAATTGTAGCAATGATCCCTAAACTTTAATCAAATTGGAGCAATAGTCCCTCAACTAAAAATCCATTACAATTGGTCTCTCAACTTATCAAAGTGTGTAGTTATAGTCATTTTCATCAATTTCGTCAAAATTTCGTCAAAACAAGTTATGTTGGAATAACCATTTATATAATTAGGATGTCTCAACTCATCAAAGTAAAATTATGGTCCTTTTTGTCAACTACGTCAAAAATTTTGTCAAAATGAGTTATGTTGGAATGATCATTGCTACAATTGGGTTAAAGTTAAGGGATCATTTCCCCAGTTGAATTAAAGTTGAGGAACCAATGGTAATGGATTTTTAGTTGAGGGACTATAGTTGCACGTTTTGATGAGTTGATGGACCAATGGTAATGAATTTTTAGTTGAGAGACTATTGCTCCAATTGAGTTAAAGTTAAGGGACCATAACTACAATTTACTCGTCAAAATTAATTGCACGCATGGTTTACATAAAAATTATTCAGTCCGTTTTGTAAAACGTGTTGATGTGAAAGATTGGATGCATGTTTCGACTTTGGTCAAGAAGGAAGGACCAAACTTTCATTGACGATCGAGTATGCAAGAATCAGTTTTAAAATTGAATTATAATTACAATTAGAATCAGTCTTAGACAAGAAATTTCCAAATGTTGACTGCATAGTCATACATTTAAAGTTTCAGAATCGAATTAGAATTCGAACAGTGAATTTTTTCTTTTTGTGTATCTTTTAACCTCCAACTTTTAGATTTTTCAACTGCCATCTTTGTAGCATTGCGTTTGTTTCTCTAAGTTAAAGCTTTGTGTATACCAACTAATGGAGGACAACTCATAATTATACTGATTGCATTGCCTTACATGAGGAGAGAGACAAATAAAAATCAAAGGTTAAATGTAATTGACATGCATCTAGAGAGACAAATAAAAATTGAAGGATAAATGCAACTATGACACTCATTCTGATAATCTGAAT